AGAAGTAAGAAGAAGAGGGAAGAAGAAGAGGGAAGAAGAAGAAGAAGGAGAGGAAGAGGAAGAAGAGGAAGAGGAAGAGGAAGAAGAAGAAGAGGAAGAGGAAGAGGAAGAAGAAGAGGAAGAAGAAGAGGAAGAAGAAGAGGAGGAGGAAGAGGGGTAGGAAGAAGAGGGGGAGGAAGAAGAGGGGGAGGAAGAAGAGGGAAAAAGTAGAGGAGAAGGAAGAAGAAGAGGGAAGAAGAAGACGAGGAAGAAGAGGGAAGGGAAAAGAAGAGGAAGAAGAAGAGGGAAAAAGAAGAGGGAAGAAGAAGAAGGAAGAAGAAGAGGGAAGAAGAAGAGGGAAGAAGAAGAAGAAGAAGAGGAAGAGGAAGAAGAAGAAGAGGAAGAGGAAGAGGAAGAGGAAGAAGAAGAAGAGGAAGAGGAAGAGGAAGAAGAAGAGGAAGAAGAAGAGGAAGAAGAAGAGGAGGAGGAAGAGGAGGAGGAAGAGGGGGAGGAAGAAGAGGGAAGAAGAAGAGGGGAAGGAAGAAGAGGGAAGAAGAAGAGGGGAGAAGAAGAGAAGGAGGAAGAAGAAGAGGGAAGAATAAGAGGAGGAAGAAGAAGAGGAGGAAGAAGAAGAGGGAAGAAGAAGAGGAGGAGGAAAAGGAGGAGGAAGAAGAGGAGGAAGAAGAGGAAGAAGAAGAAGAAGAAGACGAAGAAGAGGAAGAAGAAGAGGAGGAAGAGGAGGAGGAAGAGGGGAAGGAAGAAGAAGGGGAGGAAGAAGTGGGGGAGGAAGAAGAGGGACGAAGAAGAGGGAAGAAGAAGAGGAGGAGGAAGAACAGGAGGGAAGAAGAAAAGGAGGAAGAAGAAGAGGAAGAAGAAGAGGGAAGAAGAAGAGGAGGAAGAAGAGGAGGAGGAAGAAGAGGAGGAAGAAGAAGAAGCAGAAGAAGAAGAAGAAGAAGAAGAAGAATAGGAAGAAGAAGAAGAAGAAGAAGAAGAAGAAGAAGAGGAGGAGGAAGAAGAAGAAGAAGAAGAAGAAGAAGAAGAAGAAGAAGAAGAAGAAGAAGAAAGCTATATGACCTGCAATTTCTACAGCGTAGCCTCCATTTCCTGAATTCAAAAAAAAAACTTTTACGCGATTATTTTCACTTCGCCGTATTTGTGTTAATTCACTCCAAAGTAGTTTAATTTTGCATATCGTTTTTATTTGTTTAGGGAAAATCATTTTTGGTTCACCAAACACTACTACATTTTCTACTCCAAAATTGAATTCATCTCCAGAAAATGCTAAAAAAACGTAAGTTCCCAATTTTAAGAGAATTCCCGCTAAGATAACAGATCCACCGGTGGGTGCTTCTACATGAGCTTCAGGTACCCAAATATGAACTGGTACCATGGGTACTTTCACTGCAAAAGGTGCAAAAGAAGAAGAAGAAGAAGAAGAAGAAGAAGAAGAAGAAGAAGAAGAAGAAGAGATGAAGAAGAAGAAGAAGAAGAAGAAGAAGAAGAAGAAGAGGGGCGGAGGCCATACCTGCGTCAACCGTACTTAACTGGGCGTCATAGCCGTGCTCCACACTGGCGACCTGTACAACAACAACAACACCACCACATACCTGCGTCAGCGGTACTTAACTGGGCTCCATAGTCGTGCTCCATACTGGCGACGTGAACAACAACAACAACAACAACAACCACAAGAAGAGGGGCCGAGGGCATACCTGCGTCAGCGGTACTTAACTGGGCGCCATAGCCGTGCTTCAACCTGCGTCATCGGTACTTAACTGGGCGCCATAGCCGTGCCCCACACTGGCGACCTGCACAACAACAACAACAACAACACATCCCTGCGTCAGCGGTACTTACCTAGGCGCCATAGCCGTGCTCCACACTGGCGACCTGCACAACAAAAACAACAACAACCACATGAAGAAGAAGAAGAAGAAGAAGAAGAAGAAGAAGAATACCTGCGTCACTTACCTGGCCGCCATAGCCGTGATCCACGCTGTCGACCTGCACAACAACAACAACAACAACAACAACAACAGCAACGACCACAACAACAACCAGAACCACAACCACCTGGGCGCCATAGCCGTGGACAACAACAACAACAACAACAACAACAACA